ACTGATCGTTAAGACACGGTTCCCAGCAGATCACCGAAGTCAAGCATCACTGGCTACGGTCAGTGTGCGGGTGGGTGACCACTTGGATCAGTCTGCGTAGGGACCGAGGGTGTGCGGTATGGGTTCTGGTTAAACTGGTCTACAGTAAAGTGCTCGACTTCGCGCACAGGTTGTCGGGCTACCGAAGTGGGGGTGCCATCCCCTCCGCAGAGGATCAAAATTGTGATGGCATGTCTTCGGATCATCCTCAGGGATGTTTCCCAGAACATCGCCAATAGCCCACTGTACAGCTCTAGTGCGACGTAAATGAATTACTGCTACTACTATCTCTAACTCTAAACAAAAAAATGTATATGTATATATATATATTTATATTATTAGTTCCGATAATTATTTTATTGTATTTTCAGAATTAATCTAAATTCTGCAAAGTCTTATTATTTTCTATTACTTTGTAAAATATTTTGAGCAAGTGAGATTGATTATTTCATTTTTACTCTCCTAAAGTCACGTGATGACCTCTTTAAACCGCCCACTCGGTCAAAAGAGTGAAGAAGTGTCGAAAGCCGCATTGTTCAGAAGAAAAAAATGAAAAGTGTTTAAAACGGATCTGCTGAGGAACAACAATCATTTAGGGCATTAATTGTCTTGAAAAGAAGTTGAGCGTCGTTGATGGATAAATGGATGCTGTATTGCCCTTCACTTTATCATTGCTATTCTTAACAAAAAAGTTATACATTTATCAGAAATGAAAAACAAAATACACCAACCTTCATTATTTTATTATTATAACCGTCGTTGAACGGCAGACCCAATTTTGGGTTTACGACTACTTATGTTCAACTCCGTAGCCTTGTCATTTTGATCCCAATCCAGAAGACAAGGGAACTACCGGATCAGTACCTCCAGAGGTATGATTTGTTAAGGGAACAAGGAGGACCGTGAGACTCAACAGATGTAACGTGCACCAGTCACCAATTACTACACGGGAGGTCTTCGGTCGGCCCAAAATTGGGTCGGCTGTTCAACGACGGAGCGTTCGCCTCCCAATGAGGTGAATCAGGTTCAATCCCGGCGATGACTGATCGATACGAATTCCTCATCCGGCTTGCACCGACCACAGTGCTGACTAGAAAAATCTTCAGTGGTAGACGGATCATGGGTCAGAATCCCTTACCATCAGGCTAACCGTGGGAGGCTCTCGTGGTCTTTATCTCCATGTAATGCAAATGCGGGTTAGTTCCATCAAAAAGTCCTCCACGAAGGGAAATTTCTTCCACTACTTGATCCAGGAGTTTTCTTGTCTTCTGGATTGGGTTCAAAATGACGAAGTTGCGGAGTTGAACATGAGTAGCCGTAAATCCATAAAATTGGGTCGGCTGTTAAACGACGGTTATAATATAAAAAATAAAATAGGTTCTGGAGATGGAAAAATTCAGAAAATGTAAGTATTGTGAGTCGATCATAGGTTTTCATATGGAGTGGATTTCAGCCTTGCCTTGTCATGCCTGGGGGAGGGATTTCATGCCTTAATATTTCTAGTTAAATATAACTCTTTAATTTATTTCGGAAAAAAGTTTGAGAACCATTAGTCTCATAAATTTTTTACAACCGTAATAAGGGCCGCCATCATTTTCATTTCACGCTTATAAATAAGTTAAGTCCTGATTCATTTTTTGAAAAAATTATTTTTATGTCATTCATTTAGTATTTTCTGTATAAATTCAGATTTATACATTTCAAAAGAAAATTTTTTTTTAAATTATGAGGTGGAATATCTTTGTACTATCTAAAAATTTAATCAGATGAAATACACAATTTTTTATTTCATTTTTTGCTACTAGTTTTAATACTACGTTTTTATTAAGTTGCTTCCGTGTTTGTAAGTTTGGAATCTTGCATTCGAATGTTGGAATGCTCAAATTTGAACTTCAGTCGTTTCCTAACCGATATCATGATTTTATCATCGTTTTATCAACAAAAAAAAACTTATCATCTATCGAAATTTCGACTAGTTACATTGAATGAATTTGAAGTTAAAATAGTTTCTTGGACACAGCAAATTTTTTTTATATGGTCAAATCGAAATTTCGACCACTTTCCGACGAGAATGATAACGCAAATTTCAACTAGAGCTCCTTCCATGTTGCTAATACAAGTTACAAGTACTTTCTAAATGGCGAATTTTAGCCATTTTATCGTCCAATTGAAATTCTGACCCTTTTCTGACTAGCTATAGATAACGCGCATTTCAACTGGATCCCTGTTAACCAAGGCAAGTTATTATTAAGGCTGATACAAATGAATTCAAAATATTTTAAATTGAAACGTATTTTGTACCACATACTTTTCCTCATATCATTTTATTTTCGATAGAAGTATTCCCGGAGGGTAAAAATCGATCGAATCCGTGAATCGATCGAAATCTTGTGTCGAAATGTTGGTACACAAATGTGCAAATTAATTTTGATAGAAATCTAAATTGCGTTTTTTTTTATTGGTGTATTTTAATGCAAAGTGATGCTATCTACCCTATTGCAAGCTTAAAAATTATTTATTTCTGTTAAAGAAAATGTTATTGTCACAATTACCGCTGTTTCAGAAAATTTCCCTCACCCGCTTCTCATATCGTCAATATTATTCGCTAAGCGAAAAAAAAATTAGAAATTTCACTAACTTATAAAGTAATCTTTTATGAACATTCTAATATTATTATACAAATTAATTTTTGAGTTATTTTACGTATAATTTATTTATTTAATTATTTATTCATTTATTTGTATCTCTAAGGATACAAATTTAAAAAGCAACTAGCTGTACAATTATGAGAGTTTTTTTTTTCTTTTTTTTTCCCCTTCTTCTTTTTGCAGCTATTATCTGATAATATCATGTCCTATTTTGTTCAAAATCCGAAACGGTTTTTGTTATTAAATTGTAAATTTGCATTCCTCCCCCTTTCCTCTACGGTATTTCGATGAACTACAGGAAAGCCGTGCATTTTTTTTATCTCCTTTCGCAGCCACGTATTTTTAGTCTGACGATAAAAAGGATTCTTTTTAAATGAATTAGTTTTCGGAGTTAAATCACAAGTTGTTTTTCCGGAGAAATGTATCAGTATAATCCTAATTTTTTCTTTGTTAAAAAAAAAAAAGAAAGATCTTATACATTTTTTCCAACTTTTTTGTTGTTGTCACTGAGTGGAACAATACACTTTTCGCTCATTTCTAATGTTGATTTATTTTAATAAAATAAAAATAATTTAAATCTTGAAAACTTATTTTATCTTACAATTTATAATTGCTGTTTTGCCTCACGTAACGAAAAATGTTAGCTGAAGAATTAATATTGTTTTGAAGCATTGTTATGTTTTCTAAAAATTCGCCTCGCCTTTTTTTTTTTTTTTTAAATGTTTTTATGTTTTGAATTAGTTTTCGAGCGATTAAGACAGTTATACAGACTTTTCCCCCCTTTTTTTTCTTTTTTAAATCTGAAGATAAAATTAACCGCAGTAAAATTATAATATTTAGCACTCACGTATCCTTATAACTGAAAACCAAAAAAAAAAAAAAAAATTTGAACTAGTGGAGTTAAGTTTCAAAATTTTGGTGTGTTTTATTCAATCCTAAAAGGTTAACAAATAATACTTATTTATTTATTATTTTTTTTACCCAAACTAAGCCGAGTGTTCCCTTTTGTTAGAATTATTTTAATTAAGAGGCTTAGTGTTAGCGTTTATCTAAACTGATCTTTCCCTGACTTTTCTTTTTCCTCCTCCCCTGACTCTCCTCCCTGTGACTATCATTTTATTCTCCTTTCTTTAATTCATTTGCAAGAGATTATATTTCAATTCAAAACTTTGCCATTGGAATTTTTAAACATTTTTATATGTTATTGTGTTATTTAATTAATAATTGTTTAATTATTAATAATTGAACTAATAATTGTTTGTGTTATTTAATAATTGTGTAAAAATTAAATGAATCATTCAAATTTTCAGAAATTTTAGATTTGAATTTTTTATTGTCCTTATCGATTTTAATATTTATTCTTTATTCTGAACTTATAGAGTTTTAAATTTCATTTTTTATTGGTTGTATATAATTAAAACAAAGAATAATAATTAAAATAAATGAAAAATTATTCAAAATAAAGTTTTTTTCATGTGAATCGACTGAGGACTAAAAGCTCCTATTCAGTATCATGTGACTAACTTGAATATCTGTCTGACTGATAGGAAAATTATATTCATTTATCTGTAGCTTCATCTAGAATTATGTATTTATATCAAACTTTTTCATACATTCTTTTTTCTCTTAAAAAATATTTTTTAAAGTTTAAAAAATATCCTTATAGATAGTTATTTTAGATAATTTAATTATTTCTATAGCCTTGAAAATATTCTAAAAAAATGGAGGGCGTTAAACTTCGTTATCAGGGTACCCTTCCCGTAAACGGACAACTCTCATAACCGGACAATTTTTTCAGTCCCAAGAATGTCCGTTTGACCGATGTTTCACTGTATTTTGCTTTCCAAAATTCATCAATTACTTTCATGATTGCAGGAGATGTCGACGAGATCAACCATTGAAAATAGTAAACTTGATTTGATGGCTCAAATATCTGCACTAAGAATACGGTTGGCGAGTGTAGAGAATGAGAAAAGAGAAACAGAAGAGAGGAATTGTAAATTAGAAGTAATTCATTTTCTTTTATGTCTTTTTGACCACTGGAATAAAATAATTTAAAAACCTTTTCTATCAGTCTGCATGAAGAAGTAATAAATTGTATGCAACTTATTAAGATCAAGTTTGTATATTCTCGGCTAATTTTCCAGCAGTTCTTCTCTTCTGGAAAGACTATGTAACGACCACTTTTGAATTTCACACAAGAATTTTATCCATAGACTTTGTGTTGAAGAAAACCTTTAGGAGAGACCATTGGCTGTGCCGAATGCGAATAAGGTCAAATAAGGAAACACAAAAAATGTCAAAACAAAAATTTAACGAGACAAACAAGTAGATTATAATGTATTCAAAATAATTTTATGAGGCTCTTATTTAGAGAGCTCTTTTTCAGTTTACAACATTATGTTGCAGTCAAGAGTTCACTAAAGAGGATGCTATCGATGATTTACTTTTAAAGTTGGAAGTTAAATTATGGAATAAAAAGTTATTTCAGAAAAAAAAAAAACATCTCAGAAAAACAATCTCTAACAAACAAAATCTTCTCATCCTTTGAAGCTTACAAATTTTTATGATATAAAATTAAATGCAAACATGAAAAAACATAATTGTTTATTTATTTAAAATAGCTTTATCATTCATAATTGGTGAATTTGTTTTTATACTTAATTTTATCAGAAGGATCAGTTTCATAGATGCTAAATTTTATTCTTTGATCCATTTTTGCATGGTGCAAACAGAAGTGGCATTTGACCATCAAGAAAATGACACTGACTTAAACTAAAATAGTTTGCGAAAAATCATGTGCCTTTAATAATAATTTTGAAGTCAATGAAGGTATCCTCTAAGAACGATCAACCTCTAGCAACAACCGTTTTACTGTGGAATGGAGGGTGGTCGCTCCTGAGAGGTTTGACTCTATTATGTTCATTTTATATGAAGTCATTTTTCTAACATTAATCTTGAGTAATTGAAATTTGTAAGTGATTTTTTGGATTGGGGACTTAAATTGCACCTTGTAGTCGATGTCCTAGTTTCAGAACCCTAGCGCCAGTGGTTCTGGTGTTATAAGATATTCAACAAAGACTGACAAAATACTGAATAAAAAGAAAAGTAGAAAAATACGAAACTCTGATTTATATACTTGTAAAAAATTTAATTTATATTGTTCTGACTATTTTATCTTTAGGAAAAAATTTTAAAATTCATTTTTATTCTTAACATACGTAATGTAGTAGAAGATCTTAATAACATAAATCTTGTGACATGAGGCTAATGCTTTACAGTAATTTTTAAATACAAAATCTTTAAAACGCAAAAATATGCACTAAAGTAACCATTATTTATGGAAAAAAGGTGAAGTTATTAAAAACGTTAGAGAAAAAGATCTAACAAATTTAATGAGTTGAGTTTGCTTTGGAGATAATGTGAATGCCTTATATGGAGAATTATAGTTAATGGAATCATATTATTCAGATCTTCTACTGTATTATTATTACATTCGCAAGAAACACAAATTTGCATGATTGTTGACTTATCTCTAACTTTTCAATCCATTTTTTGAAAAAGTAGTGCTTTTAAAATCGCTAATCATTGCATTCAATTACTTTCTTTTTTCCTCTTTTTTTTAAAAAAAAAAGTTTGATGGAGATTAAATTTCAAAAACGTGTTTTGAAAAACAATTCTGTCTACCAAAAAAAATTTTTTTTTAATGAAACAAAGTAGCAATCTCTGTTAAAAAAATGTTTTAGATTGATTCTGATTTGTTCAAAAATATTATTAGGTATTTAAAAATGTTTATTTTTATTTTTAGAATGAGCTTATTTTGACGTGTGCTTGTTTGGCTGAAAAGGAAACTGAACTGTCAACTTTTAAGGCAAGACTTGCACGCAGTGGAGCCACGACACCCCTTCCGGATAATAATAGTTAGTATTTAGGAATTCTTTCAATCCCTTCCACTCTCTGCATCTTCACTATGTGAGCCAAAAGTATCCGGACACCCGCTTGTTAGGGTAGTGGAAACATAATAGTGTGGGGCTGTTTTTGGTGGTTTGGCCTGCGTCCGTTTCGTTCTTGTGGTTGGAAACATGAACTCTGTGCATGTGAACAATGCTGCACTCACAACTCTCTATGGCAATATTTTGGGCCCATTTATCTTCCAACATTCACACATCAAAACTTGCACAGACGTGTTTTTTATTTTTTTATAATCGTCGTTGAACAGAAGACCCAATTTTTGGGTGTCCGGATTCTTCTGGCCACTTAGTGTATATCTGTGATGAGGTTTAATTGTATTCATTTTTTTTTTGTTGCAGATAGTGAGTTTGAGAAATTGAGAGGAGCCCTCTCATCTGTGATGGCCTTAAATGATGAAAAAGTAATCTCACTCACATATCTCTAGAATGAGTGCTCACACAAGATATCACATTTTTATTAAGTATTGTTAGTGAAAAAAAAGTCAAAGCAACAGTTGATAGTTTAGGTTTATTAAAAATAGAATATTCTACATAAGAACAACATATTTTCTTTGTGATACTATTGGGTCAGGGTAATGCTTTTGGTGATGGATTTCTCAGAATAATCATGCAATTTAATGCTTTTTTTGAAAGCTGGGGGTTTTCTTAAGGTCAAGGTTTAGGTCAGCAATCACCCATTCTTGGGATTTAGTCACAATTGTGCTAAACAGTCTGGACAAAAGAATCTGTGTGTGTCCGCAAAGTTCCCTCTTTTCTTAAGACCTGGTGCATTTACAAAATGACTGCATTTTATAATTCTGCATACCAACCAATTCTTATAAATTTGATACAAATTGGATCGATGACATTTTGAACTTGGATCGATTGTTCAAATTCTTAATGGATGCATATTTAAAATATCCTAAGACTATAACTGGTTAAGTTACTTCTTTTTTTTTAATCCCAATTATACATTTTTATCTGCAGAGAATCATTTAAATGTTTTGTATGAATATTTTTAATGCCTATTTTTATAAGTGTATCTTTTTTTTTTAATCTGTATGTAATGAATAATTATTTTATAAAGTAATTTTAAGGTTTAAAATAAACCCCATTTTATCTCTATAAAATATGGCAGCATTTCTTTTTTTTCAAAGTGTACTCTTAAACCTCATTATTTTGAGTTTGATTGATCCTCTATGTGCACTATTTTGATTAACTTTTATAAGATTGAAACAATTGAGACTTTCTTTATTTCATATTAATTGCCTAGAGTCGAATATCTCACAATTACTTAAGCCATGTGTATCACTGACATTGATAAATTGTAATGTGAAAAAGCAATTGTAATGTTAAAAACACATCAATAACATTGGCTTGCATTGTAAAATTGTTATATTAATACATTTAACTGAACTGAGCTGCACAACTAAAGTATACTGAAAATTCTTATCAGGGATGCTATGAGTATGTATTTTTGGGAGGGGGAAAATTTTGCTGAATGAAATTAGTAATTTGATTGGATCATAAATAAGTGTTTGCAATTATCCCTACTAAAAATAATTAAGAGTGGATCTAAAGAATTTTAATTTTTAAATGACATAACGAACTTTTCTTATTTCTCCCAAAAGATTATATTTTTATATTTAAAATAGTAGCACGATTTTTACTTTAATATTCTTTTAATTAATTTGATTTAAAATATTTTTGTTCATCATCAAATCTAATTAATTCAAAGATATATAAACTGTCGATGATTTTTGGTGCTGATAAAATGAAAGAACTAACAGTTATTGTTGTAATTTTTTTTCCGTGCCACTAGAACAAACTTCCTAAAAATGTACAAATGCTCGTATTGGCAACTAAGAAATAAGCATGATTTTAACAGATCATCAATATATTATCATTAAATAAGCATGAAGCAAATAAAATTTTTGTCTAATCTATAAAATTAAAGTCTAATCTATAATAAAACCAAGTTTACTAATAGCTAAGGAACTAGATTTATTATAACCAAGGTTAAGTGAGTGTTATGTATTAAAATCAATAGAACTTTTAACAATTCCCTTTTTTTACTGTTTGGAAAACGAACAGTGTGATATTTAATTCAGCTAACATGGACGAATATTGAATATAAATTTATTGAAATTTTTAGAGTACATTTATTTATGGAATTCGAAACGGGTAAAGTAAGAAGTCTTAATCTTGAACAAAGTATATACTAGAAAGTAATTCATTTGCTTGAATAAAAAAATTTAATTATTTTGTTGCTAACATTTTAACAACACATTAATTTTATCCACCTATTCATTATATTTAACAATTTTAATCATTACTATTCTAATTCATAAATATAATCATTAATAAACCATTTGCCGAATTAATATAGAGAAAAAAATATATAAAATCGCTGCTAAGATGAAGACATAATTTTTCGCTATCCCACGAACCGAATAACAAATAATTTTGTGATCGACAAGTCTGGTGAATACCAAATAGAGATGGAATATTTTAGAAATCGAGACCCCTCATTAAATGAATCCCAATTTTCTTTTAAATAAAAGGAAAATATTTGACATCGTTGTGTTCGAACGATGTAATAAAATGCTCATTTTATGTTAAGATTATTCGAAATTATATAACAAAGTAAGATAAGTTACCCAATAACAGTACATGGATGCAAAAAAAAAAAAAATTCCACTAATTGAATTACGTGGAATAAAAAAGAAATCTTTCATTTTTAACATAAAATAACTGATTCCAAGACATTTTAATATCATATAATGTTCAATCATATTTTGATTTCACATTCATTTCTCTAGTTTAGTATATCATATTATTAAATGCAAAAATATAAATAGAATGAAATGGATGGTCTACATGATTCGAATGATTGATTACCGTACAATAAGAAATATACTGCTTTTTAGACCCACTGGGACAAGAAAGCGGGGAAAGCCGCGATTGAGATGCGCTGACTTGGTGGAGTCTGATTTTCTTTAAATTAATGAAAAGAATTGGAGATCAAAAATAAATCAGAAGTCGACATAAAGAAATCTTCGAAGGAAGGCATTGGCTCACATTGGGTCCTCTCGAAATATGCAAAATCTCATATTGTTCTATCTAATAGGTTATGACAGTGAGAAGCATGCCTGCTCAAAATGTTCCAAAATAGTGTAGACGGCAGCAGTAAATTTTTTTTATGTTAAAAAATAATCACAAAATACCCCAAGATTCATCTTTTACACAATCTTTTAATCATAAAAATTTTTATGTTACTAAAAGGAGAATTAAATAGTATTCGAATCAACCACATTTGAATATATTACTGATCAAACTATATGTACCTATTTATAAAAGAAGGACGAAGTGGTTTTTGAAAGAGCTAGGTGTCTTATTGCTCAAATTCTGATGAAACTAGCTGGTTTGTGTAGGATTGACTGAAGAATGGGCTTTTCAATGGCGAGATAAAAATTGTTAAAGAAGAATGATGTAATGGCTATGGGAAATGATATCTATGCACATTTTTTTTTCCCATCGCTATTCAAAAAAGTTTAACAAAGCTGTGATATTGATTCATTTGATTTGTGTTTTCTAAAAATAAAAGGAGGGAAAATGAAATTTCATAAATAGGCCGAAAGAGGAAATCTGGCAAACATCTTTGAGAGGTTACAGTGAATTTTCATGACCTTAAAGATTCTTGATTGCTATGGTTGTTCCACCCAATTACATTGATTCAAAATGAACACCGTTCAATGTGTTTCCAACTAAATATATTAGTTTGTCCTGTAACTTTTTTGAGTGTACTAGGGTAGATCAAAGTATTTATTCATTTTTGCAGGAAAGAGAGATACAGGAAATGAAAACTTCTTTCAATCGATACAGGAAACTTCAAGAATTAGTTTTATCCAATTCTTCCCACGAAAGTATGTTTCATTACTTCTTTTTTGTTTTATTTTTTGTTAACATCAGTAAAGATGTAAAACAATATGGTAAATTATTTATATAGTGTAAATAAATTCAAACGCTTGCATCTCTCTAACTTTTAGCTTGAAATGTTTGAATAATTCACAGTGTGTCCAGTTTTATTACAAAAGAATAGTTGAATTCAGTAAGCTGTAAAGTAACGCAACATAATGATGACCCATGTTGAAATGTTAGATATCAAGTCTTTATTCAGCATTCAAATAGAGTTAACATTTCTGTTTCATCATCTAATAAAATATTTTTATCTTCCAGAGAATGATTCCTCCCACAGATCTGTTGAAGATAGCTTCCTCTCTACCATTTTGTCTGTGAGTACTCTAAAATTTTATTTTTAGGTTTTATGAAGGGGATACATAGAGAGATTTAAAATATTGCAACCCTCTAATGACACTTTTGAAAGCCATTAGAGGGAGTGCCATAATATGAAAGGTTATGTCGCAGTATCTCGAGATAATGCACTCAATGAGGTGATTCAGGCTAGAATTTTTACGATGGCTGGCCTAGAGAATTCTGCTTGGGACTCTCACCGATCGTCGATGATAGTAGATCATGGGGTAGAATCTCTTTGGTCAGAATAACTGTGGGAGGTTTTGGTGCTTTTTCTTTTAATGTAAGGCAAAAGCAAGTTACTTTCATCAAATAGTCGTCTACAAAAGTTTTTTTTCCAATGCTTGATCTGGGAAATCATTTGTCTTTTGAGCTGAGTTCAAAATTACAAAGCTATGGAGTTGAACATTGACAATTCTGAACACAAAATAAGATTGGCCGTTCAGTTCCAGTTATAAAATAAAACTTGAATAGGTAATAAACAAAATTATTCCGGACCATTCTATTTTAATCCATATTGCACTCTTATAATCAACGCTATTGTAGAGATGTCAAAGCTTTAGTATCATACCTATATGTTTGTGATGGTGCATGCAATGTGTGTATCTAGTCGGCCATCTGAAAATTTGAGCATCTCCTTTACCAAATTGTATAATCTGTAGTTATATGTTTGTAAATGTGTGTTTTTTTTTAAATTTTATTCTTTTAGTTTTTTCTCTTTTAATTTTGCCCCTAATTTTTTGAATCATTGTTATATTTTAATTTTAGATTGTATTAAATTTAATCTTCAAGGGATTTAATTAATCAATTTAGATATATTCTCTAATGATTTTATCTGGAGTCTGTTTAATCTTTCTTTGACAATTTTATCTGAAAACTAAACGAAATTGTGTTGTGTTTAACTTTTTAAAACTAATATTTAGTCTAACAATCTTATTTTATAACCGGCGTTGAACAGCCACCTTAATTTAGGGTTTACATCTACTAATGTTCAACTCCGCAGCCTTGTAACCCACTCCAGAAGACAAGGGAACTCCTTGATCAAGTCTTGGGAGGAATTTCCTTTGTGGAGGACTTTTTAATGCAACTACCCTGCATTTGCATTACATGAACAGAAAAATCAAGAAAACCTCCCACAGTTAGCTCCACAGAAAGAGGAATCTAACCCATGATCCATCTATCACTGAGGATATTTTATGTCAGCACTGTGGTAGGTGCGAGCTGAGTCGGAATTTGTATCGACCACCCATTGCTGGGATTCGATCCAGGTTCACCTCAATGGAAGGTGAATGCGCTATCACCTGAACCACCACAGCTCAGAAAATAATTTAAATGTGATTTTAGCTACCATGTGTATATTCTAATGGCCCAATTTGCGATGTGCCTATGATAAACTTACCACATGCCACAAGATCTTCTGACCACACTGAACTGTATAGCCATGTTATAATTTTAACAGGGAACAAAGAGACGCTACATTATTTTTAATATACTATTTTATTATTTCTTAATTATTTCGGTAACTATAAGTATTGCTCGTGTCTACTGTAAGATCTGCATGTGCATGCTGCAAATTTAGTTGTAAATTAAAAAGTTAAACATGTTAAGATAAATTAATGAAAACAACCAAGCTGGATTTAAATCAAACGTATTTATAGAAAAGAAATTACTACTGGACTAATAATTATTACACAAATTACAGATTATATCATGAATTAATTTAGTTAAACTTTAACACCAATGGAAAATTTCTAGAAGACACTCAATTACATATAATTAGGTAGATTTTAAAATATCTGTATTTTAATTGCAAATAGTGGTTTTAATAATGTGGTACAAGTGCAATATGACGTTTCAAATATCGTAAATTTGGACTATAAATATATCTTTTAAAACTTATTGCTTAGGTTCTAAACTGATTAGGAATTTTCCATTTAGATTTAAAAAATACATGTGCATAAAATCTCTAATTATGAAATTGAAAAACAAACAAACAAGAAATAAAAAAGGGAAAAATTACCTCAGTCATTATTTTGCAGATCTTTCAACCTAAAACACCAGATAAAAATACTTAGAAAATTGCAACTCACTCCTTTTTGAATCAGCTGCATCCTCTGACTGTCATTCATTGGTTTGTGTTAGAATTTGTCAATAACAATCCATCCGTTCATTAGGGAAATATTTGTAAGGGAATTAAACATATTAAAAGGGAATTAAGTTACATATTGTGACCAGCCTGCAACAAGCCAAATTAACAAAACATATCATAAATCATTTGATGTTCAATTACAAGTTGCAATCAGTTTTGGAAGGCCTTAATTTTTTTATTTTAGTTTTCAACTCTCTGATCACAAATTTTTTTAGATGTAAAACCAACCTGTATTATTTTTTATCAGTGTTTGCTTCCTATCAATGATAATTTACAGTCTCGTTTGCATTTTCAGAGTTCCTTCTACGATTTCAGTTTGAGTGAAAAACCCCCTCCTGTTCCAAGGCAGAATGAGAATCATCGTTTGTCTCCTCTCTTCACCCCCATTCGGGGAGGATCACCCTTTGGGGGAGGAGAGGTGGCATGTCGGTACAGCGGCAGTTCAGAGAATGTCAATCCATCCGCACCACAAAAAGTAATTTTTTTCTTATTCTCATCAGCCCAACACTTTTAAGATTATTTCAGTGAGCTCATATAACACTCACGGGGGGAGAATTTCCTTTTTTAGAAAACTTTTATATACATGTATATATATATATATGTAACATAAAAAGCTTCAATTAATCTTTTTATGTTAGTTTCTTTTATAAAACTTCATCCTAATTAATTATTCTCACACTTTTAAAAGCCGCATCCTGTTCTTAAATCTATTTTTGGCTCAAGTGTGCATTAATTAAGAGCAGGACATTTTTCCCTTTGCTCTGTGTGGGAAACATTCGATTTATCTCATAAACCAATAGCAACTACTAAGATTTCCCACTTTCCCTAAATTAAGACATTTTAAGGACCTAACATATAACCAAGGAGCGCAACTTTTCATGTGCACTTTTAATCATTCTCATGACTGCTCTTGTCTAATAATTAATAAATAAATTTTGTACCCTCCTTCCCGACCTATGACCTGTTTTAATCCTTCCACTCGGCAACGACGTTATATATATACACAGTGAAACCTCCTGTAACAGACAGTCCTACTAAACGGATGCCTCTGGATATATTTTTAATTCTTCGTAAATCTTTTAATGAATTTCATTGTATACCCTCTCCACAAAGCAGACAGTGATGTGACCAGATGCAGATAGTCATTTATGTCCTGAAAGGTTATTTTCTATTTCTTCAAACCAGACGTCATTTTTTTGAAATCTAAAAAAAAACATTTCTGCTTTAATTTCTAAGGAAAAAATATTCAACTTTCCACCAGTTTTATGGCAAGTAAATTTTTTGCTTTATCCACGACTAAAAATATCGTTAAGTTATTTCACTATTAAAGTATGAACCTATCTCCTGTCAGCTTCCTTTTCACTGGCATTTTGTTTAATATTTAAAATAACAACTAGAAAACTTATAAAGAGATTTTGACATTACATAGAAATTTTTAATGCCACCAGTTGTGATATTAATTTCTTTTGCTTGTATTGCAAAATGTAATTTTTTTCTTACCCAAATTAATTTGCCTATTTATCTGGATAAACATTTAAAATTAGAAGAAAATGTATGCATAAAAAAGTAATCTGTTATTATTTACTGTCTGAACATTTTTAAGAACATTAATTAGCAAATATTAATTTCAGCACACTCCTCATTTTATTACGGTAAATAAAGGTCTGCAAGTATGTAACATTAAAAAATATGACCTTCAGGCACTTCAATGCTTATGGCTTTTGCTGGGACTGGACATTTGAAGTCAAAAATTGGTGATAAGAGCTTAAAAATTCCCAAACAGCTGTTTGACACTTTTTTATTATTACAAAAGTACCTACATCTAATAAATCTAGAATTCCCACTTATGTGTGTTCTTTTTTATTTTATACACTGTGTTTAATATGCCCAGTTTTAAGGTTGTATTTGAAATTTTTTTTTTCAGACTCCACCTTTAAAAAGATTTTATTCGACACTTCCTCGACCCCATCAGTCGGATATTCTGAAGCAGTTTGTCAAACCTGTACCCGAAATTTCGACACCCCGTATAACAGGCATGAATTCTTTTTTATTAAAATTCTATCTGCAATGAGGACGCTGTGTAAATGATGTCACATTTGGTAGGGGGGGGGGAGAGGGTGAAATTGGGATAGTTTGTTTCAAGAGAGAAGAAAGGGGCTATAAGAAGTGTCATGTCACACAATTTTGCTAAAATAAAAATATTTAAGGTTACCAAGTTAAATATATTTTATTTTTTTCTAAATTTTTTCATCAAAATCAGTTAATAAGTAATCATAGTTAAAATTAAAAATGTCATTAAAGCACATAATGCGTAATTGGAATTTATGACCTATAATATAGTGCTTTCCTTCTGAACTTGAAGCATATGTTTATGTAATAAACTCGACATGTAATACGAGGATTATGATGACATTTTGTGACAAGAGAAAGGAAATGATTCAAAATTTTTTAAAAAAGTGTGACATCATTTGTAGACTGTCCCAACTTTTTTCATTCATTTGTAGATTCAAAAGAGTTAAGCCATTATCCAGACCTTTTTTTTCTTTGAAACAATGAAAATTTTGTAATACGAGAGAGACTACTTGTTTGGGTAGGTTATTACAAAATGTTCATTTATCTTAAATCGCAAAGAAATATCTTCTATGACAAAATGCTTTTCCTCAATTAACATTTATCAGCTTTATTATAAATAAATATGTGTTTTGCCACAAATTATGGGCCAAAATCAGAACACTAATTACTGTATTAGGATTGACTCAATTGGGCATTTTTTCTTTTAACCACTTTTTTGCACTTTACATGAAAAGTTAAAAATTGTGCTTTGCTTTAGAAGCTGATTCAGGTTCTTTGAAAAGATCTTAAAATATGTATGTTGTTATTTTGTTTCATGTTTTCATCAAAGTTTAAATAATTTCCTCTTAAAAAATGATAAAAAGGGGGGGGGGAATTGATTAAAACAAACTGTTGCCGTAGCAACAGAACATATTGATTATTCAATAAAAGGTTATTAAGTAATTGATTAGTAAGTAATTTTTATTCTCAAATATTTATTGAAACACTCTGTAGGAACGGTTTATTCTGATGAGAAAATGAATTAATAAAAATTTTAATTGTCAATTGAATTCCTTTTGTTTAAAATATAATGTAATGGTTATCTCAAAATCCTTAAATAAATCAACCCAATCAAATAACCTTTTTTTAAAAAAATAATAATAAATAAATAAATACTCATTATATGAATTTGAGATTTTTAGAATATGAAATGCATTGTGGGGAATAGTAGTTATCAACCATGTGAACTTTCATCTGTGAAAAGGTACCCTACCGTAGAATCGAGTTAATGTGTCTTAAAAACTAATGAATTCGAATTATATTTTTTTAGTGGTAGATACACGAAAGCACTCCCAAACCAGAATATTATCTGTGATAGAGTTCGATGAATGGATACCACTAGTTGATTCGTTCCTGTTTTGTGAGAAGCCGGGAGAGCTGTATTAAGTTCACGGTCGTAGTTGCTCCTTTGTTACCTTTAGCAGTCGAGTGTATGTGTTGTAAGTTGTGTGTAATCGAGACTTTGAAACATTAACGTGAGAAGGACAATATCTCAAGTAGCAAGTCTACTGTTCAATGTAGACCAGCCAACAAAGTGTGTATGTTCAAATTGGAGTGGGAGTTTCTGACAAGGTATGTGTTCTTCCGGGTTACAAATGTGGGGAGAGTAGATATTGACCATGTCAACTTTCATCTATGAGAAGGTACCCCACCCTAGAATCAAGTTAACATGTCTTATATATTAGTGAATTGGAATTACATTTTTGTAGTGGTAGATACACTACATGCATTGTTTTCAAAAAATTTTTATGAGTGTTTTGTCTCATTTCAGTTGGTACTTCCCATTCTGTTCACAATTTGCACCATTCGAACTTTGATGCACCTCGCACCTTTCGTCCTAAACCGTCTGGTGTATCCTTTGGTAAAGGACTTCTCAGAATGCGACTAGGAAAACGCTGTTCCAGTGCACCTGAATTAGGTGATTCTCTTTTGCACTTTTCTTAAAATATATGTTAGCCTCCTCGCTCTGTAAAACCTAAGATAAAAAATGCAAAGATAGATCTTACAGAATGCCAGCCAAAATTTACAGTTCAAATTTAAATTAATTTTAATGCCAGCTATTTGTAAGTTTTAATGATGTAAAAATTAGAAATAAATGGGTTGAATGGTTACTGAGATACCAGAAATTCAAATGCTTTATTAATGTTTTATAATTAAAACAGTTTTTTTCTGTTTTTAAAACTTTTATTTCTTTAAAGCTTTTTTTTTAAATATCTGTAAGAAATTTAAAATAAAAGTAGTTTAAAAAATAATTACTTTTATTTTTATCCATTACTGATACACTTAGTACCAATTACATTTACTAACAATGCAAAATCTCCATTCATTCTTAACTCTTTCTTCATTGCCTGACCTATGTTATGACTGGATTTACTTGCAAAATAAACCTAACTAAACACTCATCTTTTCATTTGCAAACTTCACAATCTATTAGTATTTTTTTAAGTGTTTCTTTGATGTTGTGTTTGAATTTATACCTGAAATTAATAATGTATATTTTGAAGCTCCTGAAATATCAGAGACATCTCCTGTGTCACCCCCTCAAAATAGAAGTTGCAGAAGAACATCTTCACCTATTCATCCACCTAAAGAGAAGCACAAAGGATTGCGGAAGATATTTGGAAAGTATGATATTCTTTTCTTTCTTCACAATGGAAAAATTACAACTTAACTATTCGTGAAAGAAGTTCTCTTATTTTATACACCAAATGAAATTAGCTTTTCACTAAAAAATGCTGAGGTTCCAACTATTATGTTTTATCTTATTTAGTTTAGATTTCATATGCAGGAGGATAAAAAGGCAATATAGGCTAGTTCTAATTTCACCACATTGATTCCAAATTAACAATTTAATTTTATAGTGGAAAAAAGAGTTTCAGTGCTGTATAATTTTTAATTTAATACTTTTATCTTGGTGTTTTTTTTTTTTTTTTTTTTTTTTTTTTTTAAATTTGTAAATTTTTGCATAATTTTATTAATATTTTATACCTATATAGAATTAAGTTGTATACACAACTTAAAATCATGCTGATTTGAATTTTGCAAATGCTAACTGTATATATTTCTGTGCTATTGTTCTTTTTGATCACTGATATCTAGTTTGCAAAGTTCGAGCCTCTGAAAATTTCAATTGTTGCAGATAGTAAAATGTGTTCATTGCCTTTTAATCTAAGTGATTCTATTGTGATTTATATATTTCAATTAACGGATCATACCAACAAAATAAAAATGGGGTTCTATTGTATTGGGGTTCTATATATATATGTGTGTGTGTGTCTTATAACAGTGCCACAGGGGCATCTTTTATGGTTCAACCAGGTCTAGAATATTGATGAGATTGCATTTTTTTTTTTTTGCATTTTATTTATTATTCATGTTTTTTGTCATTTCTTATGTATGATATTTTTCTTTTTTTTTGTAGCATTTTTTGTGAATTTTAGAGGATATTTTTCATTTTAAGAAATTTTTGTTTGTGAATAAATTTTTTCCTTTATAACTTAGTGAGCATTTTGCATTGAATTTTGTTATTTTAACTATCCTCCCTTAGCAAATGTTGAACTGCGTTTTTCAAGATATAAAGAATCACACTTTTTGACTTTTCGACAATAAGTTATCTTTCAATTTTAAGAACATCAAAAAACATTTGATTATGCAATGCTATTGTGGTGTTCTTGCAAATTATGACTAAAAATTAATAAACTATTATTTATCTTTATCAGGTATTTATTCATGAATTACATATTTATTTTAATTATTAGTTTATTATTACTAAACTTATAAATAAAATCATGATTTATATTTTTTTTCATAAAATAATAAAATTCTATAAAACATATTTTCAAAATTTTTAAGGGCAATATATTTTATTTTAAGCTCATAGTTGATAGTTTTAAAGGCCTTTTTTTCAATTTTAAGGGCATTTTTAGACAATTTTTCAGTCAATAACATCCTAGCTCTGATAATATTATAAAAAAACATTAGCTAACGAGTCTTTGAAGTCTTGTAAAGGTTTAAATTAAGAAAGGCGAATTTCTAAATTTTGTTTGGAATGAAAAAAGGGAGTTTTATCCAATTTGTTGACATGTGTCTGATGCTCAGAAATAATTAACATTTCATAATTAAACTGCCTGTAAGGGGATTTTCATTCATTACCAAGTTTTTGTTCATTTGTTTCTGTAAAATACTAATTTCTTTTTTTTCTTTTCAGGGTGCGACGCAGTGGATCCGAGAACTTGAACTCCTCGGCAGCTGAATTGAAAAGGGGTGGAATTCGTGCAACTGCTGGACCGAGACTCGGCTGGTCGGAAAAGCCGATGTTTGGAAACAACAGTTTTAAGTAAGTGTAAACAAAATAATGCACTGTGATAATTCAATGGAAAGAACGCTGACCATTTGTCTGCTATGGAGGGGAGACAATGGTTTCAAGGTTTTTACTATTTCGAGTTGTGGTGTTTGGTCAAGACAGGTTTTTTTCAGATTGTTAAGAGAAAGGGAATCAGGGGAAAGCGAAGCTCCCCCACTTGAAATTTGCTGTTTCTTGTTTCTCTTGTCTTAGACTTTGTGGTGAGGGGAGTTTTTTTATCGACAAACTATAGTTAATTTACAAAAGAATGATTAAGGGTTTTCCGCCACAATTTTTTTCAAAAATTAAATAACATATATGATTTTTAATGCAGAGATAACTTTAAAAAAAAATAAATGTGCAGTGTGAATTTGATAGTTCGTTTGTATTATTTAATTTCTCTTGGGTGACTTAATGTTGCATATCTAAAAAAATTAGTAAACTCAAACAAGTGTTTTAAAACCTGTATTGTAGTGCTAATCAAAAACTGTATTGTAGTTCTAAAAATTTTTTTTACTGGAATGTATGTAGAATTTAAAAATTATCAAAGATAATTTTAAATCAATAATGATGGGATCATCTGAAGTTATCAAACTTTTTTTTAAACGTAATTTTCTTTATTTTAACCTCTAAAGTTTTTCTCTTCATTTACCAAAAGGCAATTGTAAATAGTTTGCATATTTAGTTTTTTCTTACGTGCATTGATCTGTTTTAAACAATTAAAAGAAATTCCATACTGAGTTACTGTTTCATGCTTTAACTACTTCTAAAAATAGCTAAACAGGAAAAAAATATCATAACTTAAATTTAAAAAAAGGTCCCTTATGCATGGCTGATTGTGCTCTGGAAAAAGTCCGGATTTCCGGAATTTTCGCTAACAGTGATCCGGAAGTTTCCGGAGATCGAAGGTCCAGATGTTTCAAAAAATCATTGATCACAGAAGTTTCCGGAAATCAAATTTTCAAAGGTGGAACTTAAAAACACAGTTTATTTTATTTGTTTGTAAGGAATAGCCAGAGAGATACTTTATAAGCTTATATTCATGATTAATATTCATTTTTTATCAGTAAATAGTTGTTATAATCATAAACTCAAGAAAGAAAGACATATTTGTAAATTTGAATTACTTCTCCAGGTCACCATAGGTATGTGTAAATGGTATAGGTATGGGTAAAATTTTAAATATATTTTAAATTTTTTTCAATTTAAACTGTTTTTTTTATTTTTTTTAACTCAAGATATTTCCCGGAATTTTGACTTGGACTCACAATCACCCCTGATAGATGGTTAATTTTGCTTTGACTAGGTTTAGTTGCACAGTTGCTTTCAAACCTAGTACAATAGCAAAGTTATCTTTCAAATTTGTTAGTATTATGTGCAAACTATTCTAAATCTTATTTTTTAATAGAAAACTAAATATTATTTAGTAAAAAATAGTAATTTGTGCATTAAAATTCCTTAAATGCATTCCATTTCCCTAGAAAGTACTAGAACGTTATACCACATGTCCTGGACTCATCTCACCCCTGATAAAAATATACAAAATTGAATCTCTCTGTATGGATGTTGTTTTCTACAATTGGGAGAGCTGCAAGCTCTTGACTGCCTATACTTCCGGGTTTCTGGTGTGTTTTGAAGCTTACATGATTGTGTTTTGAGACTCTCTTGAATAGTATTTCTTGTACACGTGTATTTACCTGATTTAATACTTATGTTCAAAAGAAGAATCATCATTTGAAAACATGTCACGTCAAGACTTTAGAATTGTCATATGAAAGAAGAATCGTTATAAAGCGCTTCTTACTTTGTTAATAATATACTAATTTCTAAATTTAAACCAAAGTGATTATTTGTAAAAGGAATTTAATCTCCCAGATCGTACAAAATTCCTACACTAATGTATGACGGTGCTTAGCTTGCACCAAGAACAAACAGTAAAAAGAGACCAAATCAGAACTGCCAAAAAAGCGAGTTCTTTCTAAATCTAGCAACCATGTTACCTTTTTTAACTCTACATTTCTTAATAACTAAAACAAATATCACTTTAAACTCAACAGAATTACTAATATCATTAATATTTTATAAAACACAACAAATTTCAAATCAGAAGTTATCTAATTTATTTCTTTTATTGAAAAAGAAATAATCTGTTTGAAAATATCCCTTCGTAGAAGAAGCTGTAGTAACCAGCTGTATACTTTCGAATCGGAAGTAGAGCAGGTCAAGAGATTGTTGTTGTTTAAATTTATCTAGAAAACACCATCCATTTTGAGTGCACCAACTATTTTACCTAACATTGTCAACTCATTGTCTCCAGCTTGAACTCATCCCTGAGGTCAAGCACTTCTTGAACTACTGTTTCAGTTGTAGTTGTAATTACATAGTAGTACTTACAGTTCATGCATGGTGCATACCGTTTTAAAAAGTCCTTAAAGATACTTATTTTCGATTTTCATTTTTTAAATGCTCTTAAAGGTGGTTTTTTTCATGGGGGGTATTTTAGAAAGTGCTAAATTTTTCCTTTTTCAAAAATGAGGTTTTTTTTCTTTACCATGTCGATTTTCGCTGTTTATTATGCAAAAGGGTGGTTTTCGCATTCAACGTTTTCACAATTCATTCAACCACAATCCGTTTCAGCCTACCGCCGCTCTTTAACGTATCATAACGCCAATCATTTTACATAAAATACTTGCGAGTCAGCATGTGCTGGGTTTGGTGAGATTATTGCACTCTCATGTGCAACTGTGCTGCATTTTGCAAGAGATCTTCTCTATCTCGGGGTTCATTTTCCACCCTCTGAAATCGAACCAAAAAATCTCTCGATCTTTTTATGGTTTCTAATATAATCAAGAAGAGAGTTCATTGTCAGAAACTAGTTATTTTATGATGATCATGTAAGGTCTTTGAAAATTATTTTGCATTTTGTTTATGTATATAGTGCTCAAAAATATTTTTAGTGCTTAAAAAGTACTTAAAAGTTGCTTATTTTTTGTTGAAGGATTTGGCTATGCACCCTGTAAGGGTCAGCTTTGCCTCCTAGAATTACGGAGAATAAATTTTATGAAAACAAATCTGCCACAAGGCAAAGGATGTGTACCATAGAGTAACGTTAATATAGTAAAGAATACCACCTAAGGAATATTTTTGCTTGAGTTTATTTTGAGAAGTATTTTTTAAAAAAATTTAATCTTAGTATTTTCATTACAAGAATGCCACGCAATGGACGAATGATATTAATCCCAGTTGAGAAATCAAGGTAAATTTAATTTTATGGAAGACTTTTTTCTTGCATTAAACTTAATCTTACTTCTTTTAAATGACAGGAAATCCTTAAATTTATTTTTCATTTAGGAGAGAGACTACATTAGCTCTTATTAAAAGTTTAGAAAATGTTTAAATCCCTTAAAATGCTTATGTTTACTGTTAGGATTATTAGGTTATATTATTAGGAGGATTACTCCTAATAATTTAAAAATTCATCTCTATGTGTCCTAAATCATAATTTTCTTTTCTGCGCCTTAGTTTGAACACATTCAGTAATTTTGAATTTGCCCTCTTTTTACTGAAGTCAATATTTCAGTTTTTGATATTGACATTATGCAGAATTTAGTTTCGCACGTTGAAATTAATTATCACAAAAAGCTTCTATATATATATTTACTATATCTTCTAGACTAATGTACTGCTATATGTAAAGTAACTGCTTTCATCTCATTTAATGCAGAAAAACAAGTTTTGTGGAATGGGACAACAACATGATATGTGATTGGCTGATTAGCATTGGACTGAGTATGTATATCCAAGATTGTAAAAAATGGGGTAAAAATGGAGAACAATTATTAAAAGCCACCACCACAGAATTTGAAAAAGTAAATTTATTTATTTTATCATTTATATTAGTTTGATCTTTTGTTGTATAATTTTTGTTTTCATCAAAATGTTTTTTTTTTTCTTCTTTCATTTGTTGGACCAACATATTTATTATTCAAATGAAAATGAAAATCTAATTAAATGAATTCTGCACTATTTAATATTCCACATTGTTAGTGATACATTTGAAACAAGATTTTTATGTATAAAAATGAATTTGTATAAAATTAAAATTTCCATTTGGACTAATTTAAATCCACCTATTTCGCAATATGGTACAATTTCTTTTCGGAATTTACCTAGCTTAAATGTGGAAGGTGCAATTCTACAAAGGGTTTAGTTTGAAAAAACAAAAATCATATTGAACTTGAGCAAATTTAATATTATACTCCTGTTTCTATTGTTTGAAAAGATTCTGTTGATTTTTTTTTTCTAGCTTTAAATTTTACACTGTTCAAGAAAATGCAAAATAAAAGTTTACTTGCGTAAAAAAGTTTCAAAAATGTCTAATTTGTGTTATTAGTTGGAAATGGGTAAAAAAAAATGCCAAAAGTAAAAATATCATTTTAAAAAAAAAGATAAAATATTCCGAAGTAAAAATATCCTATTTCCAACCACTCTTCTAACTCCTGTAAAATTTCAGTTATTTCTGTGCAAATATTCTAAAAACAGTTTACGGCGTTAAACTTTCTTGTTGGTACAGTTGAGCCCTGGTTCAACGAACCCCTATTTACCGAATTTTGCGATATAGTATATTTTATGAAGTTAATGAAGTAGATTTATAGGAAACAATGAATAGTGAGTCTGACAGAGAAGTCGATGATAATGAATCTCCAATGAACACTTTGGAAACAGTTAAAACTTGTTACTGCAGTAGGATGTAAATTAAGGAGTATTTTCTTCTCTTCATGGCATCTAAAAAATACTTTTTAATTTTAAAAAATAAAGCAAATTAGCAAACCTTACTCACAAAATGCTTTAAACTTTCAGATTAATCAGCACGTAATTATTCACCGTATTTTAAGTTCCTGTATAAAAAGTGTAAGATATCTATTAATTTTGTGTATTTGCTTATTAGAGATGTTGAAATCCCACCAGAAATTTCTCACAAAGTATTCTAAGCTATCATAATTGTTATTTTATCCCATGTGAGATACGTGGTTGGGATTACTTGATTTTTCCCTTTTTAAATCCCTATGTAAAAATACAATTCACATCATTTTCAGTGAGATTTGATGCTGTTCTCTCTCCAGTATAATGTTAAAAAAAGTAGCATATGTGAATTGTTTTGCGTGAACCGGTCTTATACTTGCCACCATGCTGTAACGTATACACACACTCACATATATATATATATAGATATATATGTAAACAAAAGGGGGGAAAACAAAGAAAATTAAGAAAAACCAAAAAACAATAAGTTTTATTTACTGCACATACGCTGCAAGTAAATAGAACTCATAAAATATGTTCAAAATGTAAGGAAAACATGAAAAAAATTACACAACAATAAGGAAAGGGAAAAAGAAAAATAATAATAAAAAAATTCTGTAAAAAGGAAAGAAAAAAAATCTGAAGAATGAAAGATATAATCTTTTCATAAACTCACACGATTATATCCGCAAAAAGGAGAGCTTTCTGATATTGTATCAATATTAGAACTTATATATATATATATGTCTATATATCTGTTTGTGTATTGGGCCCTATTCGTAAATACATTAAAACTGACATTTTTTAAAGAATCACTGAGGAACTCTTGACAAATATATTGATATCATATTTTCAACGTTCTAAGTTGATGGATTCAAAATCCAAAACCATTAAAAAGGTATAATTGTTCGGATAAAGTATGTTTTAATGCATCATTTCCTGAGCCAGGATAAAGGAATTTTGCAGCAAGGAAAGGCAATGAGTGTTGGCTGTCCTTAACTTCATTTTTAAATTTTTTTTTACTCTATCAGCAGTACTGATTCTGCCAATTATTAAAGTGAGGGTTTTTATTGAAAAATTCTGCAATACAGTTTTAGGGTGTGCAGAAACTCAAACCAAAGTAAAGAATCCCTGCATCCATTTTACTCTCTTCTTTGACACTTTTAAAAATAATCACTGTAGTAATCCATTATAATGACAATTCAATGAGATTGTATTTATCGCAAGCTTGACCTTAGAAGCAAATATGCATATTTATTGTTAAAGTAGCGATAAAAAGACTGGAAAAAAATAGACATTCACCTCCTTTTTATTTTAATTTTAAACAATCAATTTGATTTAGAATACATATCTAAAGTAGACAGCTTTTACCTGCAGATTGTAGACTGAATTTTTTAGCCCTGTACTGTATAGAACACATTAATACCTACCTACATGAAGAACAAGATTTTGCCAGAAGAAAATAAAATCAACTGCAATACCTTTTGACCTCCTGTTGACCGTGAATGTTGATTCGAATAGTCAGTTTTCAAATAATGATAGATCGTTTGAAGTCTACGGCAATATTTCTAAAAGTAGTAGTTTTTTTTGTAAGAGCAGGTTGTCATCCACAAATTCTTATAAGAATAAGAGGTTAAAACTGTAAAAAGGAAGCTGTTTATTTTTTACTTTTCTGTATTTATACTGGAAATAAATAAACCTTTTTCATATAATATTTCTTACTTAAACAGAAGAAAAATTTATTTTTCTCAAAAACTTTTGTTTTAATAGTTGGAGGTTATTAATTTTTAACTCGTTTTAATTGCGCATCTTTTGTATTAACATTTTGTCATGCTAGTGTATTACGCTGTACTTGTTACAGCAATCTTTTATTGCATAGATTTATGCGAAACACTCTATATATTGTCTCTTCCAGGAACTGAATATAAAGAATCCTCTTCACCGTAAAAAACTTTTGCTGGCCCTGAAGGGATCGAAAGAGATGGCGGGAGAGGAAGTGGAACCTGCGGAAAAGATAGATTATCAGTGGGTGGTGAGATGGTTGGACGACATCGGACTCCCTCAATATAAAGATGCATTCTTTGAAGCTCGAATGGATGGACGGATGCTGCATCATCTCACACTGGTGACTATTCACAATTAGAAAGATTCATTCAAAATGAAAATAGAGATTTGCTACGTTTTGTTTCAGAAATTATTTGTTCTCTTTAAGTTTCAAATATGTTACTTATCAGTTTTAGGAACCATGAAACAAACAGATAGAAAAAATACCAGGTTCTGGTTTATCCATATGGCCAACCAGAAAAATAGGCTTATATGGGGATCATTGATGATAATAAAACTTATTTAATAAGTAAATCTTGCCATCATTGCCGTTAATTATAAAAGATATCATGAATATTATTGTGAGTGTCGATAGATTTTATTTCGGTATTGAAAATATTAACCAATGTAAAAATAACATGAATTAGTTCAATTTTTTCTTACTCTATATGCGATATTAAAATTCAGCACTTATGGAGACCAATGTTTGTGTCAGTGACAACTGATGTACTTTGATCTACTTTTCTGAGTACCAGCTCATTAGCCTTTAACCAATAATACCTGAAAATTGATTAAAAGTTTGCCAGCAGATGGCTCTGCTTATGAATGAAAAAACAATAGGCAATGTTTTCAAAGTAATAAACTATAAAAAAAAATTTCAAAATAAGCATCATTGGTCAGTAATAACAAGGTGCAGTTTGGGAATAAAGTTAGCAAATACCCACTTAAATTTTTCAGTTGGAATGATCAGAAAATATTTTTTATGATTAGCAAAGACTTCTGTCCTGGAATTTAGTAAAAAAGTTTGAAATCTTTTAAAATCTTCTAGTTTCCTAAGCAGAATACAGCAATCCTAAAAATTTTTTATCCTTAGGTTTTTCAATTGATTTTTTATTGGTATGTTTGATCCTCAATCGAGAAATAATACACTACATGTAGGGGTGCACAACCTTTGACCCGTTGTAGCACCTGAACCTGAAGCAAAAATAAAAAACTATTATATTTTTTAAAAAAAACAATCAAAAATTTTGAATTGCACATTTTAAGTTTTTGAACACGCTAAATCTTAATCATTGCAGTCTTTTGATCTCTATTTTCAGTGATTATCACTAAGAATTTCCAAAGTTTTGAAAATATCAAAAATTTTGACATTGCGACAATCCGGAATGGTGTTCTTGTCTCATATTATGTCAAAGCTAAGTCTATGTGCACCACTGAATGTCTAATAGAACATTCCAAATCAGTTCCATTGGTGTCAAATGTGCACTTATTCTTTTAATTTTATCAAAAGAAACTGCATTTCACCTCATTGTATAAGCATGCATTGTGAAACATTGTTGATAATAATTTAAAAGTGTGGATTAAAATTTTAATCAAAAAATCAATTTCAATTCTATGCCTTTAAAGTGGTGGGTCAAACACTACAAATGTTATGATGAAACAATTCATGTTATTTTTAGTGTGTATTTATTCTTGTAAAATAAAACTGAAAAATGTTTTGCATTGATTTGCATTTGGAGGAAATAAACCACCACAATCTACAAATGTCATTTTTGAATTATGTAATATTATATTCAATATTTATTTGATTTGCTTATTTTATAAAAATGTGTAAAAAACTCAGATAAACTTTGTGTAAAACTTTTTGTGATACTTGTAGTTTCTTTATAAATAACCTTAAAAATCAAATACTTTGTTAATAGCCTATTCTTTTAGCCTATTAACAAATACTTTGTTAATAGGCTAATAGAAAATGCTTGCAATATGAGGAATAATTGTTAAAATCTTAACTAAAATTTATGAAAATGTAAGAAGTTACTAAATTTTCCATTAAATTATAAAAGTGAGAATAAACAATTGATATTTCATAAAAGATGCTAGGAAATAAAATGCTGATCTTTCATGAAAATCTCATTAGTTTTAAAAGAGTTTCAAAACACCTCATTCGTCCATTTTATTAAGCAATCATAAGAAACGTGTGGTTCCTTGTGCGTCTTCTCGTGAATCATAATCCATACAGCTCTAGCTGTTGGTAATTGCAATAATGGATTATGCTATTTTAGTTTTTTATAGCTCTTTTTTTTAACAATATTAAGCGCTTTGACCTATGTCCACATTACAAATAAGTTGTTCGTATTAATACTCAAAATAATTATTTCTGGATATTAATTTGAATCCTATTTGCTTCCTATTAAGTCAATTCAATTAGATAATACTGTAACTGTATTATCTAATTGATTACTTGCAATCAATTAGATAATACAGTTACAGTATTCTAAAGCTTAAATATTAATAAGAAAGCGTATTCACTTGATTATATTGTTTGTCTAAAATCTGTCAGTTAAAATTTGCTGTGAATGAACTGACTTATTGTGTTCCGTCAGATTTTATGTTTGGGCTTAATAAACTTGTTCTTTTAATGAAATTACTCTACACATCATAGAACAATTGCCCAATATAAATTTTTTAAATCACCTATAAAGTTTGGTCAAGTAACATAATGACACATAAAATGTTCAGTTAGGATTTTCTGCAGTTTTTGCATCACTTCATATAGAGTTGTATTATGCATGCATTATTTATTTCTTTAAGAAAAGAAGAAAAAAATTAAATTTTTTTTGAACATTTTATTTTTCTTATTTGTTTTAAAGTCTGTATTAATCAAAGTCATCCTCCGTTTTTCCGTGTTCTATATACTTCTACCTAATCAGCAAATCTCATTCTATTTAATTTTAATAAATTTTATTATATCAATATCCTTGTAAATTTTGAAAAAGTTATTTTCTGTTTTGTATTTGTTGTTCTTTTATAAGAAGTAAAATAATTTTTGTAGGATGATCTGTCTCATTTGAAAGTCACAAATCTTCTTCATCACATCAGCATCAAAACAGGAATTCAAGTGTTGAGAGAAAATAATTTCGATCCTCTCTGCCTCAGGAGGAGATCACTTCCTGACGATGTAAGAACAATTCTTTAGCAAAATTGCGAGATTTTTTAATTCTTTTTTGAAAATGGTGTGACTGCTAAATGCTTATGCATGGTGCGAGGCGTTTTTAAAAAGTGCTTAAAGGTGTTTATTTTTTGTTTTTCGTTTTTTAAAAGCTCTTAGATATGCTTTTTTTATGGGGTGTTTTTAAAAAGTGTTTCATTTTCCCGTTTTCGAAAAAGAGATTTTTTTTAGCATGTAAATTTTTGCCACATATTATACGAAACCATACTTTTCACATTGCTCTATTCAACGCTTTCACAATTCATTCAAACTTAATGGATTTCGGCATTTCGTCGGTCCATAGCATACGAAAGCACCCATCATTTTACATGTTCAATGAAATACTTGCAGGTATGTGCGTATACTGAACTGAGGTTTGTGATATTCTTGCTCTCTCATGTGCCTTTTCATTTGCAAGATATTCTCAATTTCAAGCTGCATTTTCCACCTTCTGAAGTTGAACCGAAAAATCTCTCGATCTTCTCGTGGTAGCTAATATAACCAAGAAAAAGAGTTCTATATGTCAGAAACTAATTATTTTATCATGATCATGTAAACTCTTAAAGATTATTTTGCATTTTGTTAATGTATAGGGTGCTTAAAAATATTTTTTGAGTGCTTAAAAAGTACTTAATAGGTGCTTAATTTTTGATGAAAGATTTGGCTACGTACCCTATTATATGAGTGAGCTTTTTTTAATCATCAATAGAAATGATTTTGCAAAAATTGTTATTTGATGCAAATAGATTATAGTTGTTTCACCCCCCCCCTAGTGTCCTCCCAATGATGTGAGCCGCTGGACCAATCACAGAGTGATGGAGTGGTTGAGGAATGTTGATCTATCAGAATACGCACCTAATTTACGCGGAAGTGGTGTACATGGAGGTCTTATGGTGAGTATTCTCTTCTGTATCTTAATTTATATTCCCCCATTGCCTATTTAAAAAGGCTTTCATTCAAACAATAAATTTCACTTTCTATTTTATTCCCTGTAAAGTTTATTAGTTTAAGATTCAAAGTTGAATTAATATTTGCAAATTTAAAAGGCTTTTCACTCCAAAAAGTGGATAATGCATTCTATTTTATTTTTAACAAAGTTTATTAGTTTCTGATTCAAAGTTTATTAGTATCTAAGTGTATTTTAATCTTCTGTTCTATAAGAAAGTATTTCTTACATGTAAATACATCTGACCTGAAAAAAATAATCTGTATAAAGAAATTGCTTAAGAAACAAAAAAGAAATGTGATTTTTTGTTATGAGATATGTATTGTAAATAATCAGAGGCAAAATAGCGATATAATTATAAATTTAATAATGTTTAAGAATCAGAATTTCTTTAAAAAGAAATTTACCTTAGTTTTTAAATTTAAAGTGAAAATTAAGCATGTCATCCAATCCTGGAAACAAATCATAATTTTAGCTAGTAGCTTTTACAACCCAATCAATGTAGTTTGAATAAGTTTTGTAAGAATCATTCGAATAAGTATTGTAAGAATCAGTTTGAATCAAAATACTTTTTAGAGCTTAAATATTTTAAAACCAATTTTTTATTGTAAAATACTACTGAAAATAGAGTTTTTTATCTTAATGTCTAATCCAATATTACTGCTGTTGAATGAAAATGGAAAATTAAAGCAACTCAGTTAAAAAGTCTAAAAATCAAATTATTTTAAGTGAAAAGAAGTATTGTAAAAAAAATTTCTTCGAGATACGGTACATTTCTAGGGATAAAATTGTTCACAATTATCACAGAAAAAAGAATTTGAATTTTTCAGCTTCATCGATTAGCTATATAGTTTTATTCTTCTAAAAAAGATAATATATCCAATTTTTTTTTCTTCTCATTATTCCATTAAATGTCATTTTAAATTTTCTTTCCACAGAAATATTTCAACTCATAGTGTTTTCAATACAAAATAGATTCATATGGTTAAAAACTCGTATCTTAATCTTGTTATCTTTTAAGGTGATATTTTACAAAATAATTGATTTTATTTCTATTTAAACAAATAAGTAAAGTAAGTAATGAACTATAATTTGCTATGATCATTAGATTTTTTTTTATTTTTTCTAGTTTGAATGAATGTTGTTTAAAAAAATATGTATTACTTCAAAAAAAAATAAAATAGAAAATAATTGTTAGCCTTCTTTCAATAGAAATGGATGCTTGCATGAAGGTTCTTGGTATTGCTTTCTTGTTCTGGAAGGTTCTTGTTTTATTTATTTATTTTTTTTTTTTTACATTGTCTTTGATATTCTTTTCCGCACTTGTTAAGTATGTTAACTTGTTTCATTGCTAATGTTTATTTTTTGAAGGTATTAATAAAGGAGTAAAATTAGCAACAAACAATACATTAGGGCTATAAATTTGCTACATAATGGAACAATAATGGTTTCAAACAAGCTTAGCAAAATAAAAAAAAATTTTCATTCTGAGCACATCTAAAACTGTTTTAAGTTGCTGTTTGTTACATCAAGAAAACAAAGTAATATCTTTTTTATATCTTCTCTATTTCCCCCCTTTTTTTCACAAATATTAGACACATTTCCTTTTCTTTGAAAACCAAATATTTATTTTTAATAATGTTTGTTCCACGCAGATGTACGAACATCGCTTCAATGCCGATTTGATGGCAACCCTTTTGAACATTCCACCCAGTAAAACTCTGCTGCGACGACACCTCACTACTCAGTTCAAATTGGTGGTGGGCCCTGACACGATACAGAAAAAGAGAGAATCGGAGACCCGACCCGATTTTGTGCCGCTCTCTCCGAGTGCCAAATTCAAGGTGAGTACATTCATCTTTAAATTCTTCCATATTGGTTAATTGTCCACTTTGTTTAACAAAATATCTCCTCCATCGCAAATAATTTGGTGAAATTAAAATTTTGAAAAGTGCTGCTGAAATGGAATTCAGTAGTCTGTTTATAAAATTTAAGCTATTGAAATAAAAGTTGTATATATGTGTTCATCAAATCAATTCTTTTTTTAAAAACCACTTGACAGAATGTGATGTAGAATTTTTTTATTATTGTTATTCTCTCTCTTACAAAAAGAAATTCTTTTTTGTTTTCTGTGTTCTTTTCTTGTTTTCTCGGTGTAATTATCTCTTATAGAGGTTACATGTATTTACACTATGTATTATTAATTATTTTGTTTTTAATTTCTTCTTTATTTGAACGTATCTGATTTCAAATATACATTCATATTGCTTGGGCTATATTAATACAATATCTGAAAGCACTGTTTTAGCGAATTTAATTGCATGAATTAAAGACAGGATTGTATTTTTCAAATGTGTATTTTTCTAATTTTTATTCGTTATTTTTAGTTTTTATAATTTTTAATAATTTTTCTTGAATTTATGTTCTTTTTATTTTTTGTGTTCTTTTCTTGTTTTCTTTGTATAGATATATATATACAGTCGAATCCCGCTATAGTGAACCGTCTGCGGACTCAGTAATGTGTCCACTATAACCAATGGTTCACTATATCCAAATTTTTTGAAGAATATTTTTTGCATAAGAGAGTTGAATGATTGAAAATTTGCTTTGCAATTTTACATAAGTTATTTAAAAAATTATTAACTAATTAACAGATAATAAAGCAAAAATTGATGAAAAAAAGTAATTACGTCGCTAAATATTAGTTTTATTTTCACTTTTTATGAAAAAAAAATTGTGACTTTTGATTGAACATAATTTGATTTTAAATAGAGTTCATCAATTTTCTTATCTACAATGTGCAAAGAATGCAAGATTTTTACATTTTTAACTAGATTTCGAACCATCTTAACAAAGCATCTTCTACGTTTTCTCTTTCAGCTCCACCCAGTTTTTTCGTTGAAACCATGTTTTTGTTGTCGTATGCCGCAAGAATTGCACTTCGATTTTTTCAAATGTTTTAAACTGTAGATTTTGACAAGGAAAATTCCTTACACAGTGTCGATTGATTGGTTCCATCTTCAATCCGCTTTACAATTTTAACTTTGTCCTCTATTGAAAACGCTTTTCTCTTTGGAGAATTTGTCAATCATCACTGCTTTTGAAATAAAAATCTTGTCTCAAATAGATAATGTTAAAATATGAAGAGAGCAGCTGTAGAATGAGTAAAATTGTTCCCCTTCTTGATTGTCAAGAGGTGATTTGTAAAGAAAATGGTTTGAACAGATAAGAAAATTCCAAAAATTCAGCAGGTGGCCAAGTTAGCTAGTTGTAGAGCAAGCTTGAGGAAAAGAGACAAAGCGAGGCTTGTCAGGGAGGGGGGAGCATAAGATAAATGATCTGTTTGACATTTATTACAGTATAGTTAAAAGTGATAAGCATAAAGGAGTGAAATATGACACATTTTAAAGGAATGCATTCATTTTCAGTCCCAACACCTGCAAGTTTAAAGATGGAGGACTGAAAAAGATATTTAAAGAAATGAAATTCGAGTCCACTATAACCGAGTTACCAAGCCTTAAGCTGTTCACTATAAGCGTTAAAAATAACATTATTTAAATAGGAATACGAACGGGACCACTAAAAAACTTCACTACATCCGAGTGTTCACTATATCCCAGGTTCACTGTTCGAGTGTATATATATATATATATATATATATACCTGCCGACTTGTAATCTCTCCAAAGATGATTTATCCTAGTGGTAGTAAGATTAAAATTGAATTACATTGTTAGGCGACCTTTCTTTGCATTTGGCGTAAGCTTTAACCCACCAGAGTGAGATTATTATTTATTATACATTCATATATATATATATGTGCGTGCGTGCGTAGAATTTATTTAAATGTAGATGTGGTCAAAATCATTTTGAATTAATTTATAAATACAAGGAATAAATACAAGCATACATTTTACTACCTCTTTAAATGTAAATATAAAATTTTACACAAATTGCGTATAAATTGGTAGGTAAGTATATATATATATATCATGAAACTTGTGTAAAGTTCATTACTGAAATCATGGAAATTTAATTTTCAAAGAACCACCAACACCATATCAAGCTTATGGTTTATAACCAGCCATAAGCTTCACTTTCTAGATCCTTAAAATTGAATACTTATTAGGGGTCGGTCTGAAGGACCCCCCTTCAATCAGTGACATCAATTATCGAACTCCCATCCTTACCAAAATTCGTCACAGGAGGGGAAAGAAGGCAGGAAGTACATTTCAAAGGAGCTAGTTTAAAAGTGTAGATACAAAATTGGCTATTTTTAACTGAAAGATATTCTTTCTCAAATTTTTTTTTAAAATTTGCATATTTTATTTTAACATATTTCAAATCTTACAATATTAATTATCAAGGAATAAAATATTATTTTCATTTAAATATTTTAATTTGTTTTAAATGTTTAATCTTTATGTGTTTAATTTTAATGTTGAATCTTTTAATATTTTTCTTCTTTTTTCAAATATTTTTTGTGGGTCAATTGCTTAGCATGACAATGATAGAAATTTATTTTTATAATTTAGAATCAAAGTTTTTTTTTAATATTTTTTTCATGTAATATTTTTTTTTTTTTTTTTAATATTTTTCTCATATAATCAAAGTTTTTTTTTCAGGTATTAAATAAATAAAATAGAATGTGTTTTCTACATTATATAATTTATATTATATTGAGAATTGTTAAATAAATATGTTTAAATGGGCCAAAACTCGACAGATTTATATTTTTAGGAGCCTCCTTTATGTGGGAATAGCTGATAAGTTATGGTCCCAATCATTTAATCAGGAGATAAATTAAAAATTTGAATCTCTAAATCTTATTTCCCAAACTTGGAATTTACTCTAAAATAAGTTTGTGATGTAAGTTTTTTTAAAAGTTTTTCTCATTGTAAAGCACACATTTTAGAAAATATTGAAATGTGTAATTTTAAGGGTCAAATACTAAGATTGAAATTATTAAAATTATATCTTTGCCATATAAGATAATATCGTTTAATGGTAAATGAAAAATATTAAAAATAAGGAAAAACCATTATTATCATTTATTTCTTTGTTATCATTATTCATTTGTTATCATTATTCTTTTATCATTATTCTTTTATCATTAATCATTATTATTATTTATTTTAATCATTTATTTCTTTGTTTATTTTATTTGTTTATTTATTTTTTTGCAAAATGTTTTCTTTGAATGACTGAATTTTATTAATGGATGCAGGGAATTTTTGATTTATTTAATTTGTTCTAAAAGCGTGATAAAACATGTAAAAATAGTGCTAAAATTGTTAAAAATGGTTTCAAATTCATTGTACATGTCATGTTTGTGTGCTGTTTTAAAACTTAAATTATTATCTTCCACTGTTTTTTAGTAGAATATCTTTATTTACGTTAGGAATATTGCATTTTAGTACAGAGTATTTTTCTATTTTAAGATCAAATGTTATTCGAGTAAAACGTTCTACATCTCTTACTTTTATAGTTTTTTTCCTGGGCTAAGAAATTAGAGTTTTTAAATAAAAAAATAAAAATTGTAAAGTCAGTTCTACTTTTTCAAAGATTTATAGAAAATTACTTCAGAAGAGATTTTGAAAAAATTTTCTTTTTGAAAATTCGAAATTATCACTATCCAAACTTAACTCAATCAATGACTAACACTTATTAATTACATTAAGTTTTGATTTAATGGTTTCATTTTAATTGCAATGATTCTTCGTAACTTCTTTTTTACTGAACATTGAATTGAGTCATGTGGGTTTAACGAAATTTAATTGTTCAAACAAAAGTTTATGATATTTACTTATAGTGCTTTCTTTCTTTTTTCAAAGTTTTTGAAAATCAAATTCAAAGTTTAACTCAAAATGTAATAAGGAAAGCATCTATTTTTTAATTATTAATTATTTTTAATTGTAAACTTCCCATATATATATATATATATAGTATATATGTATGTATGTATATCGAGAAAGAAAGAGAAACATTTCTGCCTTTTATTATTATTTTTTTATTTACGAGTATTTGTTAATTTTGTTCACAAAACATAGTGCATGAATCATATCATTGCCTCACACTAAATTCATAGCCATATTCCGAGTACAAATTTACTTTGAGAATAATGACAAATTATTTGTATATGCTATTTCTTAAAAGTTATTTGTTTTTTATAAAAATATACCTCCCAACATCTCTCGATTTATCAGGAAATTTCCAACACTGATTGAGAATGGTAGTAAATTTTACAGTTTAACATTAAACTTGATGTTATAAAAGTATATGTTGTATGTAAAAAAAGGAGAAAGGGGGAGAGAGAAGATTATCATCTTCGGCAGCGAAAAACATTAAACAGAAATGTTTGAGCAATCACATCTATAACAGTTTTCAGTTAAGTCTGAATTTCAGAGCCGAAACGAAAAATTAATAATTGCAAGATTTTCCGTTGTCTAATATATATATTTAATTGTCATTTTATTTGTAATTCCTATTTTATATATTTCATTTACCTATTGCAATTCAAATTAAAATCTAATTTGTAATTAGTTAAAGAGTTAGCAAAAATGTTTGTTTCATTTCAACATAGTTTCAATTCATTTTAAAATTAAATGGTTGAAAACATATGATTTGCATTTGGATATAAAATACACATTAAGTGCATTCATTGGATTCTTGAAGTAGCTCTAAAGAATTTAAGTATAGCTTTCTCAGAAGCGATTTTTATAACCTTTTGTAATCACGAAATCAATTCTTGTAGTCTTGTATACCATTTAAAGTTATAAGTAATTTCTAGTTACATCATAATAAATATTCAAATACATATTCCAAATTGAATGGTCAGTTGAGTTCATCAAAATTTTAAAAAAACATCTCATCATTACTTCGTGTTTCAGTTTTGTATTTCAATATTAAAAGCAGTTTTTTGTTCTTGTGCTTTTTATTTTACAGATTTTTCACCTGATGCTTATGTTCTTTATCCTTTTTTTCTAAAGGAACTTGATGCTAAAGCAATTTTTTTCTTTTTAACATATATTTAGAAAGGTTTAATGATGTTTACTTAAAAATTAGAACTATTACATTTCAGGATTAATCTATTCTTCCCTTTATTTTACGCGTAAACTTCGCTTTGTATTTTAAATCAAATTGAGCTGAAATTCTCAGCTTATATTTTTACTCTTTTTCGTTACATTTTGGTAAGCACTTATTAGACATCTTAAATGCACAGTCAAAATGATACAGTCCAAATTGCTGTAGACTATTAATTGCATTCATGATTCATCATATTCATTATTTAAATAAATAATAACAATCTGGGAATAATAAAATGTAAAACTCATTGAAATTTTTTCTATTTAATATCACTTTTAGTCAATATTTATTTTTCAAAAAAATTTTTTTTCAATTTAATAGAGTATGACTTCACAACAAAAATATTTAGCATAATTTATTCGCTAAAAATATTGAGAGATATTTTATGAAAGGCTTTATTTTGGAGAATATACGACTTAGTTTTACTATTGTAGCTGCCTAACTTCGCTGGTACTACAAGTATTCTAATTATCGCCTCTGCTCCATTTCTGAAGTTTTGTCCAGGTGCATTAAATGTGGAAGAGTTCAAAAGTTGTTTAACATCTCACTGTTTTCCCCTTTTGCTCAATATATGTTCCTTCCTTATAACTTTTGGACACACTCAGAATACTATGATATGTGTTTTGAAATCAGGAGAATTTATGCATCCACTACAATATGCCAGTAACTAAATTTGTTTTTGCAACCTTTGAATTTGTCTGTATTCCATAAAGGCACTTTTATGTAGCTATTCTAAAGAAATATCTTTTTTATTTTTAGAATGTGAAGAGGGGTGGTCCATTCTCTCTGGGGAGGAAAAGGAATAAAGTGGAGTATGTGTGTCCTCTGAACTTTGATTTGGGATCATCACTCTTGATGCTCAATGACAACAGAACAGAGGAAGAAAAGTTCCTCATGAAAGAGGTGAGATTAGCGTGGTGTCATATGTGTCTCTTGAATATTGAAATCATTTTATTTTATTTTAACCGGAGTTGAACAGCCAACCCAATTTTGGGAGGTTTATGACTACTCATGTTTAACTCCATAGCCTTGTCATTTTTTGAATCCAATCCAGAAGACTAGAGAACTCCTGGATAAAGTATGGGCAGAAATTTGCCTTTGTGGAGAACTTTTTGATGGAGCTAACCCGCAATTGTGTTAACGTGGTGAGGAAAACCACAAAAACTTCCCATTCACTAAAATTGAAAGTTAAAATTTCTTTTCCAAATTCTCGAATCTGTTGCCCCTCAAAATTTAGTCAATTGAGGCAGCATAAGAATTGGTTTCTTTTTAGGCATTAACAATACAAATTCAGGCTGCAAACATTTCTAAAATTTTGTTCTTCTTAACTTTTAACTAAATACATTATTTATTTTATATGTTTGTTTTTTAATTAAAGTATTTGTGTAATTTTTTAAAAAATTTTGGTTCATTGTAGAAGCATAAGATGAGATTCAAATGATTTTGTCTTTTATGAGGGTAAGCTTTTCTGCATTACCACTAAAAGGCTTAGGATGAAACTGTCAGCCCTATTATTTAGTTCTTTTTATTTTACTATTAAACTTTGAGATTGGAGAGCTCCAAAGAGCACATTGACCAGAGGTCTATTGTACTTAAACCCGAAAACACGTTTAGCAAGAAAGCCCCTATGGCTGAAATAAATTTCAGCAAACACCTTAGACGAATATCTTTCCGTTCCCAGACCTTAATGCAGTGTTGTCCTAAATGCAGAATAGACCTTACAATCACAAACAGGGGTCTGTCCCAGGCCGAATTTATAACCGTTTAGCGGTACCTTCACAAAATCAACTTTAGGAAAAACGGTAGTTTCACAAATTCAATTTTAGGAAAACGGTTGAATACTTTTTCTTAAAATTTTATTTTTATAGCCCTTAAGAAACGATAAATCAATATTTTTGTGTTGATTTTTTAACATAATTTTTCACAAATTATGTCTACATTTTTGCAAAATAGGTACCTCTCAGAAAAACCTAGACAGACCCCTGACAAAGTATATGTCGTGGTGTCTCTTCTTCAAGGTGACAACCTCTGCAAAGAGGATTAGATTCAATATCCATTGTGTATAGGTGTCTCTTGAGGTTAAGTGAGAAGAGCAATGATCTTCCTCAGACTGTTCCTGTTTAGCTTTAGAAGCTCCTTTTGACGCGCACTGGGACTGTCACTATTCATCTCCTTAGCTTGTTGCTGACCGCCTGTGTTGCGCCATTGCTCATGGGCAATTTTGATGTAGAGCTTGAATAAAGATGCCTTGAAAGAGGTGGGAGAAATTCCCAAGGCTGGTTCAGGGCCCCATAAAGATTGCAACAGCTCGTGCTGCTTCATCAGCTAACATATTTCCAAGAATACCCATATGTCTTGGGACCCAATGTAGGACCACAAAGGACCGGGAAGCACTCCCACACTAGCAGAGAGGTGAATTTGCACTGTGACAGTGATAGGAGAGCAGCCAATACATATATGAAGCGGATATATTCAGGGGGGATGTAGGAAAAGTCATTTACTAAATAGCAATAATATGATAACAGTAATGCAATAGCATTTTTTTTCTACCTAACACACCTTTTTTTCCCTAACTCAAAAACGCTAAAATCACATTTTTCTACAATAAATTTATATTTTTGAAAAATATAAATTTATTTTTTGAAAGCTGTAAACTATTCATTTAGAATAATGTGTTTTCTTAGAGGTATGTAAATATATCACTTATTTAATTCAACAAAAGAAGTTAAAATTTTGGAAAAATATCGTATTTATAGAATTTTTTACTATAAGAAATTTCACTAAAGTGTTTTAAGTAATTAATTTATGGAAACTTATTATTTTTTTAAAAAAAACATTAATGTAAAGTGATTTGTGTAGTGAAATGTTCATAATAATCATCTTGAATTATATTTTTACTTTTCCAGATGGTCTTAAAGAATGAAACTGTTTTGGAAAATATGCCAGCTTCTAATGTGTGATGACATCCTCCATCAAAAGATTCACTTCATATTTTCAGTATTTTCTTAAAGGCATACCACATACATTTTTATTACATTTCACTGCATTATTTTTATTCTGACAGTCATATTTTCCATTTCTTAACAAATTTTTGGTGTTTTAAAATGCTTATCTGTCCTAAAACAGTTTTAAAACTTTCTTACTGACAACTTATAACTAATATAGAGTGTAAAAATTTTGTAAAGAGATTTTAAAAAAATCCCATCATCATTCATCCTTTTTAACAGTTTGATTTCACTCTTTGATTGATGTACAAGTCCTCCTGAAATCTTGTTTGTTGTTATTGTTAAATCTTCATCTTAAAGGCATTGTTTTTCCCTTTTGCAAGGCTGCCAACTGCTATGCATTTTGCAAAACATTTATAAGAGTTGTAGACAAACTAAATCTTTCAGAATTTTAGATTATTTTGCCTACATTTTAAAATTCTCACCAAGAATCAACTGGAAGGAAGTGGTTTTTTATGTGAACTTTTGAATCAAATTGACTACAAAAATCATATATTAAAACATAAATTTTTCTACAAAAGAAATTTTCTAGAAAGCATAGAAAAGTGACCGCTCTGGTTCTTGTCGTATAACAGTCCAAATATAATTTCTTTTAAATGTGTGTTTACCTTTTTAACCCTCCAAAACTGAGATTTTAGGAGGGACGAAAATAATTTAAATTGTTCAAGTGTGTCTGTTTGATTAAAAAGGAATTTATTGTTTGAAATTTTAAATAGTCTTTGATAACAGAAGTATTTTTAAAGTATATTTAAAATATTGTCTATCTGAGGATCTTTTGTGTACTCATTTATTGAAACATTTTACATCATGAAATGCAGAAAAACTGTCTGATATAAATATAAAAATACAGCTTTCAAAATACTTATTTTTGCTTAAATGTAATAATTAATTTTTACTTGTTACTAATGTTAAATGTTTGTAATCTGATAAAGTGTTATCCATTGTTTTAACTTTTTTTATCCTCTACAAAAAAAAGAAGAAAACTCAGAATTAAAGATGTTTGTATTAAAACATTTCTATTACTTTTTTTAGAAGAATTCACAGAAGGGCTTTTATGATGAGAATATAGATGGGAAAACAAATATATGCATGTCTTGCATATATTTTTTATTTTTCAATTAAGTATGAAGAATGAAGTTCTTAAAATCTGTGAAAATAGTTTCCAAAAAAATTCTACTGACTTTTTTTTTACGTGGAGACTTTTAAGTTAGAAATGGAATAACTTTTGTGAAACAGAAATAAGAAATATATTTTGGGTGGAAAAGAAATTTTTATAACTTTATGTGTTGAAGTTAGGTTGATGAAATAAAGATGACTCTTATTAATAGATCTAGATAGATTGTAGCTGTAGATACAAACTACTTAAAACACCATTTAAAAAAAAAACTTCATGCTAGTAGAAAACTCAGAGATTCCCCCTCCCCCTTACTTTGGAATGGGGGTTTTCAAGTGAAATGATTAATCATATAAGTATATTTTTATGCGTCGAAAGGATAAGCAAAGAATGTTTTTTTTTACACAATACTGCAAGACAAATGAAAGAGGGGTCAGTAGCTCTGTTGCAAGGAGGGGGGAGGGACAATTCAAAATGCATGGTATGAATGAAATTCATTGCAAAATAACAGTATCTATAACGTTGTATGTGAGATTTTTATTTTGGACACAGTTAAAAATGCATGTCTAAGAGAGAACGACACAGATATTTAAAAAATAAATGTACACGGATTCCGACAAACTTCTTTTGTGAAAAATTGATTTTTCCTCTTCTTTCTTTCAAAGAATATATTAATTTATCCTAATAAATTGGAAATGCGATGTTTTTCATTTGTCTAAATAATGTAGCATATTTTTTAAATAAATTTTTTTTAAAAAGATGATAGTAGTCAGTTTTTTTTTAAAGAGGTTGTTAAGGATTCTATAAATTTACAATAACTGTTAATAAATTCGCGTTGTACGAATCAAAATTTTTTAAAGAACCACTTTATGGTGTAGTGTTTTGAAAATGAATAATGGATTGTTACATACGTAATATACTCAGGAATTTTTTCCCTGCTATTATGGATGCTTTAGTGTTTAACAACATAAGTATGAAAATCCTCATTTAGTTGTTGAAATTGGGCTGGACGTTAAATAGGTGTTCCCATTTTCTTAAACATGACCATTTCAAGCTGTGTTCAGAATGAAAAAAAAAAAAACTCACCTACAATGTGCAAGTATATAAGGAAATTTTGTTTATAACTATGTATTTATTATTGTGATTACAATTGACAATTAAAGTGTCATCTCACTACCAGAGATCAGATTTCTCAATGGCAGAGATCTCAGTTTTTTTTTATTTATTTATATTTTGCTATAACTCGTCATCATAATCCGTTGCTTTAAGCGACTGCCAAGAACAACTTTAGTGTAGGAGGCTGATCTCCTGATAATACCAAACAGATGATTTTATAAATAAAAGAATTTATCATAATTTAATGACTTTGTTAGTAGAAAATAATAATGTGTGACCAGTGAGTCTACAACATTTTGTACGATCTGTAACATTATGTTGCAACCTATACAAGCTGTTAAAAATTTCTGATTTTTATTCTGCAGAAATTGTTGCACTGTTAAGATTCTATTTTGAACCAAAAACTGTATTCAAGATATTTTAATAAACTGAAAGTTATATGTTTTAATTTATTTGTTGTATACCAAACACAAGCATTACACTTTTCTAAAAAATTATAAACTCTACTCAATTTTTTAATGGCTTGTGGGATCCGTTGAAAGTGCTTTTATTTATTTATTTTTTGTTAACATTTAAATCGTCAAACTTCCAACAATATGTTTTATAGTCATGCACCTGAAGTGAATGCAATAGAAGGATCTCTTAAAAAGAAAAAAAGAGCTTCATTTTATTGTTTAAAAATTTTACCGTTTAATATTTAAGAATTATTTTGTTAGATTATCTTGGTACTATTTTTGTACACTCCATTGCCAAATTATTAGACGCACTATAGGATTCTATGTAAAAAATCTTAGTTATCAGGTGTAACTATACAGCTTTATTGTTTTTACGCTACTGAAACCGGTTTGCACTTCTTTACGTTTGTCTATCAATGGGTTAACATTGTAATGCTATACGTTAAAAATAAAAACAAATAGGAAGTCTATAAAAAATCTCTTGAATTGAAATCCACTAAATGTATGTCTAAATATAAAAGTATTGCCCATAAACTCGTGCAAAAGTGCGTCTAAACTCAAAAAGAAGTTATCGATGAGGAACGAGAAAAAAGAACAACCACACTCGTCGATTACAATTCCCTTGATACAAGAGCAATTATTTTCTTATTGTTCAAGTTATACGAGAATTCTCAGAATGATTGGTTGGGTTCTAAGATTCCTTGAGAATTGCAAACACCTCGAAAAAGATAGAAAGAAAGGTGAACTATCGCAGATTGAACTCAGAAATCAAATTATTGTGAATTTTTCAAAATGAAACATTTACTGACAAGTTATATTAAGGGTTTGAAGTCATTAAATGTCTTCAAAGATTATTAAGGAGATGTATAGACTAAAAACAAAGTTAACGAAAAGAAATAATACCACGAACATCCGAGTTCCTATTTTGCTTCCTGGAAAGCATTTTTTAGTTGATATGCTAATCAAAGCATATCAACGTATTTAAAATATTTACATGTTTTACGGCAAATTTTAATTTCGAATCTAAGGGAAAATTATGGGTCGTCGAGCAATTCGTCCCATTATTAAAGGCTGTATTAGATGCAAGCGATATAATAAGCGAAGCATAAAAATAGTTCCAGTTGGTTTACCTCAAGATAGAGTTAAGGAGGCTTTCGAAGTGGTTGGGATCGACCTAGCTGGACCTCTTCTTCATTTGAAGGAAGGTGTTAGATTGTTTGTCTATACATATACCGTTTATCGAGCGATACATCTCGAACTGTCACTTTCTATTTGAGTTTACGTAGATTTATTGCTCGCCGGGAGAAGATCACACATCATATATTGCGACAATGGGAGTCATTTTAGAGGAGTTTGCTTCAATGATTGTATTGGAAGTCTATCGAAATTGAAACATCTATTTACAAAATCGAATGGACATTTATTCCACCAACTTCTCCTTGGTGGGGAGGCTTTTGGAAAATAATAGTGAAAATAGTTTTTAAAAAAATCTTCGTCGAGTTTTAAGAAAAACCCGCCTAATCATATGAAGAAGTGTTCTATGCGATTACGAGTCAGTTATCAATTCTAGACCTCTAACGTATCTCACGGAGGATCTGGATGATTTAATGCCTCTCACTCATTCAATATTCTTACAAGATATTTCGACGGTGGGAGTACCAAATCAAGTAGATCTTAAAAGGCGTTACAGATGCCAGCTGAGGAAAAGATTCCGCCACGAATACTTGGCTTCAACCCCGCAAAAAGAATGATTATTATGAGCTTAGATTAGGAGACAAGGCCGTAGTCCAGGATATTTTTTCGGGAAGGGGATATGGTAAGAAGTAAGGACAGTTTCAGACATGCAAAGTAGGGGGAAAACATTGTAAAAAACATTGTTTATTCTGTTGTTTGCAAAAGTTAAACTAGTAATTAAAAAATATTACATAATAATTATTTTTCAATTAATATTACATTATAATTATAATCAATTTGTTTACAAAGGCGTGCGACGGGGATTTGAAGAAAATTTTTCGATTACTTTTTTAGGACAAACCAGAATATCCCGAAATATGCTTAATAAAGTTAACCCCGTTAGCCTTTTTTCTTTAGTAGCATTTCTTGTTGCTGTTTTTACGCGTTTAAGAGTAGAAAAAGTTTTTTCTGCTGTTGCTGTAGTGATTGGCAACGTAGCCAATATGGATAGCAATAAATGTTTGATAAAAAGATACTGTCACATTATTCCATTGCTGAAAGTGATGTATCTGGTCTACTAAGAGCCACAAGGTCAAGTGAAGATGATGCACTAGCGAAGGTGGTGTACTGGGAAAATGCTTGATTCGACAGTTATTGTTTTTCTTTTTACTGAGAGGCTCAAAGAAAGACTAAAAAGTTTGAATCTCAGAATTTCGGGTGGGGGGGATTTGTCCCGACGGTCCCCTCCCCCTGACTACGGGCGTGTTAGGAGACGTGTATTGATTGAAGACGAATCTAAGAAAAAGTGATCGTTTGCTAAAGTTATTGCTTTTTATCTTGGGTAAAGATAAGAAAGTACGTGTAGCAAGGCTTAAAACAGCAAATGGAGAATTTTTGAGGCCAGAGTGCAGCGGATTTATCCTTTAGAAATTCGGTCAACCCCTATTGAGGAGGATAAAGTTATAACTATAAAGGAAGATGACGTTCAAGAGTCCACATGTGCACAACAAAAAACACAAGAAGTAGTCGAAATGTGAGAATACCACCCAGATATTTGGACTCTAAACTTAGATTTGAAGGGATTAAATTATCGTCTATGTCAACCTTCATCTATCAGAAGGTACCTTTAGATGGTATCAAGTTACATATCTTATATACTATTAATTTGTAATTTAATATTTGTTGTGGTATTTATGCCACAGATTCTCTATTAGGTTGTTTCGATTATTTCAAATAAATAATCAAAAGGTAGGAATGTTGTGAAAATCTATAAAAAGACATAACGATTATGGGTGATGTCGTTAGTTAAAAGTGCATATAATTATGTAATATTATCATTAACTTAATATTATCGAATGTATATGAATAATTTGGAGTGGCAACGTAAAAAGATAGTTGTTCTAAAGATTTTGAATAAAATGGTTGTTTTGATAGAACGCAGTTATTTATTTTAGAATTTTAAGTTATTTTTATAACTTTAATAAAAATCGGGTAGATTTATTAAAAGCAGGGAACAAGCTCAACTAATGTAATGATTTTAAACCATTTTATATCAACGATGCTAAATTAACGTAATTCGCGATCGCAACGCTCAAGTACTCCCTCTAGCGGGAGCCTGTAAATATCAGACATTAATTTATCACGTTTTCATTTAGTTCCATCAAAATCACTGGCCATGACGGACGCCATTTTCTCAGCAGCATGTAAAAATCAAAATTTCCCTAAGCAATAGCTGAAGAACTTGAAAAAACTAACCAGAACATGTCAAACATTGAAGCAGAACACGCCAAGCATTTGAAGAACAATTTCTCCATAATTTTTACCTTTCTATTACCAACAACATAACTTACAATTTCATGATCACTTGCTGTTACAGATGTGTATATTACGGTAAAATAATTTTTTCTGTCTTCAATTCATAACAAATTAAAATGAAGTCAACATTGCTTTCGTCATTCCAATAAATAAATGTGAATTCAGAACGGCAAGAACTGCAATAGTTATAGAATATTCTTCTTTGTTATAAAACAGTATATAATTCTGTATCTATATAATTCGGAAAACAACAATAAAGAATGAACCAAATTACTTGAAATAGTGTCATTTGTGCTGATGATTAATAAAATTTTTTATCGTTTTCTTGGTAAGTATTTTTTAGTTTTGAAAGAATAGATAATTTCAACTAGAATTCAGCTGTTCTGTTTTTAAGCTACACATTCAAATTCATATCGAGATCTTACAATTATAAAATTTTGATGTGTGGTATGTTATCTAAAAGTAATAAAGGGATAATTTATGTACATATTATTTGAAAATAAAAGTTTCAAACGAAGAACATTTCATTTGTAATTCTGCGGATTTATAAAGAAGGTAAGTGTTATGATTTTTATAATAAAAAATTAGCTTGTAAAATTTTTTTATTTTATTTGATGATAGTTCTCTACAGAATGGTTTTTTAGGTCTGATTAAGAACTATATGAATAATAAGAAAAGATACAATATGAAAGTTTTTATTTCAATGTAAAGAATTCTTAAAATCGTTTTTTATCCTAAGAATTCTTTATTTTTCCGTTTTATAGTTTATAATTTTTTGATAAAAATTGTTGTCAAAATACTTTTTTTGAAAACATAAATGGTATATATAACATTATGTGTTTATCTATACTTCTTGCATATTCTAATGTTTCAAGTAATATGATTCAGAAAAGTATGAATAAAAATTCGGTACTAATGTATTAACGCCACAGCAGCTACAGATTTGGCGGTTTTTAAGTGCCGCCAATCTACACCTAAAAGTTTTGTGACAAATCATAAAATCCTAAAATGAAACACTTTATTTAAAATCAAACTGGTTTATCGGATTTCGGTGGACAATGGGCAAAATATTTCGCTCCTGAAAAAATAAAATTGCATCTTGTTCTATTTTTGGCAAATCCCAAAGACACATTTTCGTAGCACTAAAAAATGGTAACAAAAATCGAAGAACAAATCATTTTGGAATTCTTCTGATTTATAAAGCAGGTAAGTGTTAATTTTTATAAAATAAGAAATTTTACTTTTAAGTAGTTTTTTTCTTATTTGATGATAGTTTTCTATAGAATGGTTTTCTGCGTCCGATTATGAATCAAAAAAGAAAAAACATGAAAGTTGTTTATTTTAATGTAAGGAATTTTTAGAATTGGTTTTTTCTTTTTTGCTTTGTATCGTAAGCATTCTTTATTTTACGTTTTTTAGTTTCTAAATAATGATTTTTATTGAAACTTGAAATTTTTTGATAAAAATTGTTGTCAAAAAACGTTTTTTACTAAATTAAATTTCA